GCTGTGGCCCTCCCGCTCTCTGTTCACAGCCAGTTTCTAAAAGAGCTGGGCTGCCCAGAGAGTGGGCCGAAGGTGGCCATGCAGGTGCTTGGGGGACACAGGGACAGGGGCCGCCACCTTGTCCCCATAGGGACAAGAAGTTGAGCCAAGTGTCTTTCCTCCTGAGGACACCAGTCAGCAGGATAGGGACACAATGGGCTCAGGCGTGTGCACGCAGACCAGCAGGGACCCCACTGCAGGCCCCCAGTGAGCGAGAGACAGAGGGGTGTGCTACGTGACCCCTGGGCTGGCCCTGGCTGCACCTGGAAGGAGGGAGGCGCTTTATTCATGGTGCTCATGCACCGAGGGAGGGGGCTTGGACACTAAGCCCAGGGCTGGGCTGCAACATACTGTGTGTGGTGGCCCAGGGTGCCTGAGGCCCTCACAGACCTGTCCACTGCAGCACAAAGTGGCCCTCAAGCTGACCAGGCGCTACTGTCCTTCAGAGACGGCAGGTGCGTGGCCAAGGAACCCTGCAGCTGGGTGTGATGGGGTCCAGGTAAGCAGGTGCGGGGGAAGGGAGACAACAGCTCCTTTACCATGAGTCTCTCCCCTATGGGCCACTGATAGGCCTGGGGGGTCGTGCCCCAAGGACAGGGCAGTAGCTTCCCCCGACCCTCTGCTCCCTGGCCTCAAGAGCTCTAGGAGTATTCAGAAACAGGTCCCAGAGAGGCTTGGCTGGTGGCAGCTGCCTGGGTAACATCAGGTGTCCCCACCCCTCCCAGTCCCCAGTTATCTGGGGAGGAGCTTCCTCCTTAGAAGGGGGAAGGGGCTGGTCCTGCCTCCTGTGCCCAGATAGGCCTTGCACCAGCCAGGGGCTCTGTCCTATGGGAGGAGCTTGGGGCAGAGGCTTTAGACCCCTCCTGTGGGGCTGCTCTGGACTGCTACCAGCTTCTTCCTGGACAGAGCACCATGTATGACATGCAAGCGCTGGTGAGCTCTGACCCCTGACCCTCCATCCCAGGCTGAGCTCCTTCCTAGAAAGTGGTGGTAGGAGGCAGGAGGTGAGGTCCCAGGAACCCTCCACCAGAAGTCCAGCTGGGACTCAGTGCCCCAGTCTCAGCAGAGGACACAGACCTGCCCGCTTCACCTCCTCTCTCTCCTGTCAGCCTGGCACTTCCCCAGGCAGGGACAGGATGGGGAACAGGGTGGCCACCTCTCCCGGGCACAGCAGGGGCGCCAGGCAGCTAGTCAAGTGACTAGCACAGACACAGAGAAGCAAGCGTGGGTGTGGGCCCCAGGCACCTTCCCGCTCTCTCATGGAGGCCGTGCGGGAAGGCTCTTGGTCCACCTGCGGGGCAGTTCAAAGGCAGCCAAGCCACTGGTGGCCCCGACCTCTGTGTCCTCAATTCAGAGGAACCTCCTGAGGTTGCTGACACTTACTGTGTGGTCAGCACGTGTCCCACCCTCTCCATCCTCCTTCTCTCATCACACACAGGCCACACTTGTGGGCGTCCACTCCGAGTCCAACAGACAGTGGGACTGGGGAGGCCTCACAAGCCTGTGTTCCAGGAGGAACTGAGTCTGGCCCACGTGCTAGGGATCGGACAGGGTAGGTGAGCCTTCCCAGGACATCCCACTCCCCTGGCTTTGAGTGTCTTTGGGCCTGTGTGTGACTGCTTTGGGGTTCTCTCAGGACAGTGCCCCTGCCACCTTGCCTGGTGAGAAAGTGCTCAGGGGGCCCAGTGATGCCCAGGAAACGTGGCAGACATGGCGGTCCAGGGGAGTGAGTTTCCTGAGGGGTCAGATATGGGTGACAGTGGCAGGTTCAGGGCTGCCCTGAGGACCTCCCAGGGGTCCACATGTGTGTGACTGCTATGTGCCCATGCATGGGAAGGAGAGGGAATGCCATACGTGGGCACATGTGACCGAGTGCATGTGTGGGTGATTCCCAGGTAGCTGAACTATGTTCATGCCTTTGTAAAGCAGAACTCACCCGTGTCTGCCCTCCACCCCATACCTCCCACACTCCGCCCACATGCGCTCTGGCTTCCTGACCGCCAGCCCCGGACTCTGTGCACTGGAGGACAGCTCCCCAGCCACCTCGCCTTTCTGCCCTTGGCTGTGCCCAGTGCCTGAGTGGACTCGCAGGATGAGAACCCGGGTGAGGGACAGAATCCCCCTGCCAAGGGGGCAGGGGCTGCAGAGGCACTGTGGCAGTTGTGGCCCAAAGATGGGTGGTGTAGAATCGCGAGGCTCCAGCAAAACATCGCGAGGTTCCAGCAAAACATCGCGAGGTGTAGGGAGGCCTCCCAGCCAAGGGTACTCTTGTTTCGTGTTGCACAGACACTTGGCTCTGGGGAATGTTCTGGAGCCATGAACCGAGCTGAAATTAATGTGCTCTTCCTCTGCACTTAGCAGAGCTTCAGCTGCTAAGGTACATTGGCAGCGCTGGTACAGGTGGACGTTGGTGTTGGGGCGGGGTCGCCAGCGGAGAGACGGGCCCGCGGACGTTTCCTGGGCGTTCTCGGATGCGCTCTGGCGGAGTTCAGGTTTCCAGGGGTAAGATCAGACTGGGCTGTGCCCCGAATGGCGCGAAGTTTCCAGGGGCGTGGTCAGATGGTGCTGGCGTTTCCAGAGTGCACTAGGAAGGGCACAGTGTTGCTACAGGCACGCGCTGGTAGTGCTCATGTTTCCCGGGTCTTGATTAGTCGGCCAGCATTTCCAGGGACATGCGCAGAATAGCACGGTGTTTGCAGGGACGCGATATTTCTAGGGGTTTGCTCCCATGGTTCTGATGTTTCTAGGGGCGTGGGCATATCGTTACTGTTAACATCTCCCGAAGCGTGGTCAGACCACTGACACTGAGGTTTTCCAAAGGTGCGCTCAGATGGTACTGATGTTTCTTTCCAAAGACGGACTCAGATCGTGCTGGCGTTTCCAGGGGCGTGGTCAGGCTGCTGGCGCTGACGTTTCTAGGGGGCGCTCAGATGGTACTTTCCAGGGGCGTGGTCAGACCACTGACGTTGACGTTTCCTGGAACGCGCTCAGATGGCATGGGCACTGATGCTGACGTTTCAGGGGTGTTCAGTTTGCTGATGTTGACGCTTCCAGGAACGGACGCAGATGGTACTAACGTATCCAGGGGCGTGGTCGGAACTTCTGAAGTTGATGTTTTCCGGGAAGTGCTCAGACGGCATGGGCACTGGTGCTGGCGTTTCCAGGGGCGTGGCCAGACTGCTGACGCCCGTGTTTCCAGGGACGCGCTCAGATGGTACTGACGTTTCTAGGGGTGTGGTCAGCGTGGTCCGACTGCTGGCGCTAAGCAAACTTTCGCGCTCAGACGGTACTGACGTTTCCAGGGGCGTGGTCAGCGTGGTCCGACTGCTGGCTCTAACGTTTCCAGGGACACGCTCAGATGGCACGAATGTTTCCAGGGTCGTGGTCAGGCCGCTGGCGCTATTTCACAGGGACACACTCAGGTGGTACTAACGTTTCCAGGGACACACTGGTGTTTTCAGGGGTGCGCTCAAGTGGTACAGTTGTTTCCATAGTCGTAATCAGACCGCTAGTGCTCACGTTTCCAGAGGCGTGGCCCAACCACGAGCGTGGTCTGATGGGGCACGTTCATAGGACCGATTGTTTCCAAGGACGCTCTCGGATGGTGTTGACATTTCCAGGGGCGTGGTCAGACCTTTGACGATTTTAGGGGCGTGCGCGCATATGGTACTGACGTTTCCAGGGACGCGCCCAGAAGGCACAGCACTGGCGCGCACGTTTCCAGGGGCGGGGTCAGGCCACTGACACTGACGTTTCTAGGGGCGTGCGTGCACATTTGATACTGGCGTTTCTAGGGACGCTCTCTGAAGGCGCTGCCGCTGACATTTCCTGGCGTGCTACTGTAGGCCTGCGCAGCACTCCAGCACACCGCCGCTGGCATTGGCATTCCCGGGGCACATCAGACGGGTAGTACGTGTTTCCTGCTCCCAGGCCTGCGGCCCGGCTTTGTGCAGCTGGTTGCAGTGCTGGGGGGACGCGGACTTGGGTCCCCTCTCCCTATGCGGCTGGCCTGGCTCGGCTTCTCGTTGCCTGGGCCTGTTTGTTCCCCAACGAACTGGGTTTGTGGCCAAACCCAGGAAAACAAAAGCTTCCAGAAGAGTGGGCACTACACTGAGACCAGATTGAGCCTCTGTTTCTGACCCTGGTCTCCTCGCTCCCCTCCCGCCAGGCATGCTCCCCACTGAAGGGGCACCCCTTCCTAGAGAGCAGCCAGCGCGTGGGTTTTACCTCCACGTTGGGGCCGTGCACCACGGCGGGCCTCGCGGCCCTAACTTAGGGCAGTATGGGGAGGGGTGCGCGTGACCCAGGGCTCTGTTGTCCTCATGCGGCCGGGCGCAGGCGGCTAGTTACCAGCAGCGCCTCGTTCTGGCTCCCACGTCAGCAGAGCGGAGCTCACCTTTCACTGTCCAGCCAGCCCGGCAGGAGATTGGGGAGCTGGTGGTCAGGGGGGGCTTGGTGGAGTGGGGGAGGGCTGGAAGCAGGCTTGCAAGTGGGCCTCTGGTCTAAACCTTGGGCCCACTTCCCACAGCAGGCCTGGCCCTCAGGAGTCAGCTCCCCCTAGAGGTAGCCCCCCTGCCTCCCGAGGTCTGTTTGCCTGGGCGCCCGGGTCATCAGCGTGCAGGCACCAGCCTTTGTTCCAGGTCCTGCGTCACCACCAGGGCCGCTCCAGGAAGAGGCCCCTTCCCCCATCCTGCACAGACATCCCGCAGGCATATCTCGGGGCCAGAGCCGCCATCATCCAGGAGATCCAGGAGCCGTGCCTGCCCTCCCTGAGGCCTGTCAGGGATCATGGGTTGCCAGTTTGCCCTCTTAAACAGCACGCTTCCTTGGGGCACTACCAGGATAAGTTGGGTGGGGGCCCCAGCTGTGAGGTGGCAGGAAGCAGGCACCCAGACTGAGGCCCTTGGGCGCCTGCATGAGGAAGGGGCGCTGCAGTTTGTGGGACCCACTGATTATCCAGGGTCCTGTCTAGCTCGTAGAGGAACTCCAGTTAGTGAGATAAGGTTTCTGGGCACCCCAAATCCTCAGGGACAGCCTGGGGGTCTGGTTGGAGCCTGAATCCAAGGCCTGTGTCGGCCCTTGGGGGGAGGCCAGCCCAGCAGGCTGTGGCCACTCTGCTGAAGGCCCGCCCCTTCCTGTAGCAGCAGATGCCAGACCAGTGAGGAGCAGGCGTCTGATCTTTGTGATAAGTGTCTGCACAGATAGGGGATCAAAGCCACTGCCCTGCAGAGAGGAATCGCTTCCCGCCCAGCCAGCCCAGAAGCCCGCGGGGAGCATGCTCTGCTCGCTCACTGCCACAGGCTGTGTGGCTAGCAGCTCCTTGTAGGCACAGTTTAAGAACATACTAGAAATATTTGTAATCCTAAAAGGAGTGAAAGCTATAAATAGCCTGGGGACTCCGGAGAAGGTCGTCAGGGCTACAGGACTCGAAATAGATGGCATCCCACAATGCTGAGGGGCCTGCCCACCCGCAGGTTCATGACCGCTCACAGACCCATGACACCCGCCCCCGCAACCACAGCAAGGACACACGGGGGCGGACATGCGCGGGGGCGGGGCACTGGGAG